GTCACCGTTACAGTATCATACAGAGAGTGGATTGACATGAGAATCTGTGTGCTTGAACCAGATTATTTTAAAATACAGAAACAGAGACTAGTATATTCTACAATAGTAAGAAAAGCAAGAGTTCTCTGACCTTTGTTCTCAGTACAGACATTTTTCCCTCTTCAGGACAGCTATGGCTCATTCTAGATACAAGAGTAGTAGCAATGTCTGGGTCGTGGTCTCCATCCTTCTGGTCTTTGGAATGCAGGATGGAAGATCACACAGCTGGGGTGTCAGCATGTTAAATAACTTCAGCCATCTGTGGATGATGTCTCCTTCCACCTCCTGCCCCGGGGGAAAGGCCAGCTCTCACTAATGTCCACTCCCAGAACTCAAATGGTCCTTTTCCCCCATGAGCTTAATTTCTCCTGGCACCACTTCATAAAAGTTCTGTTTTAATTACTCTCTGTTTAACTTATTCATCTTACTTAAGGAGACAAGTTTAATAAACCCAAACATTCTTCTGTCTAGGTCTTACTGACCTGTACAGTTAATTTTGACGAATGGTACATTTTAAAAGATAAAACATATTTTTTGGATCCTAAACATAGTGTAGACTTTGGTATGCTTTTCAAAGGAAAGAAAACCATAGCAATATTCTGTATAGACAAATCCCAATACATATGTTGACCCCACTTTTATCTTCTTTTTTAACTATTAAACTCCAATGCCTATATTTAGAGAATTACAAATGAGACTTTAAGAAGCTTCCTGTAACAACATTCCTCAAATTTGAATATTGTTCATATTCCTTATAAGGGAATAAGATTTTATATGCTCTAGAGCATATGAAAAAGCTTGACTTATATTATCTTTTATAGTGTTGCATGTGTCCATATGTTTATGCATATGTTTATTGGGGCAGGACTCCATTTTTTACAGAATTTTATTTTACAGATTTTATACATCTTTGAAACAAAAATTATAAATTAAAAATATAAAACCCCCTACCAGATGAGGAGACTCAAATCTAACATATTGATTTAATTTTAAGAAATATTTTGCTGAAACCAAATTACCTCTTGCAGCATGAATATTGCACTGATTGCAGTAACATAGACATATTTAATCACATACCATGTGATCACTCAATTCTCCCACTCAGTACAGTACACCACAGTACAATTTGGCTATTACTTGGTGTGATAATATCAATTATTTTTTAAACCCATCTCTGGTTTTTTCTCATAAGTCTATAAGTCTGTAAGAATTTGCTTAATACTCTTTTATTGCCAAACATAGGCAGTGAAATTGCATTCCCAGAATAACTATAAAGGGTTGACAAATTTATACAGATATTCCACCCCACTAGTAATCCAATGCAAATTAAAACGAGCATTTCATTTACTAAATTGGCAAAGCTTTTTTAAAAGATAAAATAAATGCTAGTAGATATGCGTGATGGGCACCCTTGAGCACTTCTTGTGACAATGAAAACTGGCCTGATATTTCTGGAAAGCAATTTGGCAGACTTAAGAGATTTCAAAGACTTTGAATCAGTAATTTTACATACAAGTTCCTGTCCTAAGGAAATAATCTTAAATTGTGGGCAAAGATTTCAGTATAAGGATATTCATAGCAATGTTCCTGTTATCAGTGAAAATAGGAACCCTCTTATAAATGTAAAAGGAGGTGGAATAATGAAATAAGTTAAAGTATAGGCATATCACAGAGATCTATTCCAGACCACGGAATAAAGCAAAAGTTGCGATAGAGTGAATTGCAGGAATTTTTTGGTTTTTCCCAAAATATAAAAGTTGTATCCATGCTATTCTGTAGTGTAGGCAGGCACTAATAGCATTATGTCTAAAAGATGTACATACCCCAATTAAAAATACCTTATCGCTACAATGACCATTGGAGCATTCCGTGGATTATAGCGACTTTGCTGGGGAAGGCTCTTTGTTTCAGTACGGCTGGGAACTAATCAGGGTGGTGGCTGCTAAAGACAGAGGTGGCTGGAGCAGTTTCTTAAAATACCACAAGGAAATTTGCTGCACTGCTTTCTCTTCCGTTCACAAAAGATTTCTCCATAGCATGCAATGCTAATTTGATAGCATTTCATCCACAATAGGCCTTCTTTCAAAATTAGAGTCAATTCTCTCAAACCCGACTGCAGCTTTTCAACTTTAACTGTTGTAAATCTTTTGTTGTCATTTGAGCAGTGTTCACCACAGCATCATCAAGAGTAGTTTCAATCTCATGAGAACACTTTCTTTGTTCAGTTGCAGGAACTCCTCATCTGTTGAAGTTTCATCATGAGATTGCAGCGGTTTGGCCACATTTTCAGGCTCCACTTCCAATTCCAGTTCTCCTGCACATCTGTAGTTACTTCCTCCGCTGGAGTCTTGGAGTCCTCAAAGTCATCCATGGAAGTTAGAATTAACTTCTGCCAAACTCCTGTTAAGGTTAGTATTTTGACCTCTTTCCAAGAATTACAAATGTTTTCAATGGCTTCTAGGATGGTGTATCTCTTCCAGAGGGCTTTCAGTTTATTTTGTGTAGACCCATCAGAGTAATTACTATTTATAACTGCTCTAGTCTTATGAAACATATTGCTTTTTTTTTCTTTTCAGTGCTGATAATTGAACCTGGGGCCTCATATATGCTAAGTAAGCACTCTACCACAGCACTGTATCTCTGGTCCCACAAAATGTATTTCTTAAGAATTAAGTCTTGAAATGTATCACTTGATTATGGTTTAAAAAATGAATGTTGGGTTGAAAACATTTTCATGAAAACGAACGTTTTTCAGATATGAGAATAACATTTATTCACTGTACATCTCCATCAGAACTCTTGAGTAACCAAGAACATTATTAAAGAGCAGTACAGTGTATGATCAATAATTATATAGCCATAACAAATAATATTTGTGAACAATTTTAATGATGGTTGGTAGTATTCAACAGTGAGGGGATAAAAGCAGGATATAGACTATTTTATATATTCTGTGTAGTTCCATTATGTCAAAATGCAAAACAAAGCTCCCACACAAATAGGTCAAAACCGTGAATGATTTTTTTTCTGGAATATGAGTAATTTTCTGCTTTTAAAAATATATTTTCTGAATTTTCCATGTTTTATCCAATATTTTTATTTTTAATTAATGCAGAGATCTCTCAAAAGGACAGCATTTGACACTATTTTGCACTGTGAGCAGAGGTGCATACAACAGCTATTGCTTTGGAGATTCCTCAGGGGCAGCTTGAAGTATTATAAAACATTCCTTATTATGAATTAAAATCTTCTCTAAAATATCCCACAAGTCTTAGGTTTGCTTTCTATCCAGAATAAGTCCATGACTGCCACCGAGACCTTTTGAAAGGGTCAGTTATAAACCTTCTCATCTCTCCCCCCCATATCCCTGCTGCCTCTCCACACTTCTCATTTCATTTCTGGTCAGCTCTTTCAACAACTGTCACCAGAGTTTCTGGTCTCACCATCCTGTCCACCTTGCTCTAGAAACTACTATCACATACAGTGTTCATATACTGTATATATACATATATGTGGTCATGGCTGGAATGTATTTCTTACTGGTGATCACATATGTTTGAAAGCTGCCCATATCACAGCTACACCAGGGCAGCAGCTAATCCCTAGACTTGTTTTGGATGGATATTGATTCCACTATTTCCTCAGCTGGGTGTTCTCTCCACTGTCTGACTACTGAAGTCCTTTGAGGCCCACAGAGAATACCACCTCCTCCCCGAAGTGTTCTATTTCCCTTCACCCTAAAATGAAATGGTCCCGCATCTTTACATCACTCTAACCAGACTGTCCTTCTGTCAGGATGTTTGTATACTGCTTTTCACCTATAGTGCCTGGAAGGTGGGGCTGTGTCTTTGTCACCTCTGGGTGCTCTGAAGGCCCAGAAGTGTATAGTGCCTGGTTCTTCTCACTTGTGATTTCTTCATCATGGGTCCAACAGATAGATCTGTGTCCTGGGGCCAGTGTTACCTACAGTGGCAACTCTAAAGGCCAATCTTTCTGAAAGTTTTCATCTTTCTTTAGTGGCAATAAGAGAAACACAGATGCTCCTCATTTAATGATCTACCTGGTTAACGACTGTTCAGATTTATGATCCATTTCTTGGAATTACAACCTGATTTTTTGTACAGTTCTATACATCTTGTTATAGAGCTTCAGTGTCTTTTTTGCCCCATACAGTATACCTTACTTATACAGTACAGTAATTTTTGCTGACTGTACTGTATAGTACAGCACTGTAGTTTTATATTGTTATACATTACAGTACCATATGTAAGAGTTATGCAAGTAAACCCAAAGTCATCGGTGAGTTTCCTTTGACCATTTCTTTGTTCTGAATATTGTAATGTACGTATTACATACACTTCTTCATTTAGTGACTAATTCATTTTTAACAACCTAGACCTAGTCACAGGAAGGGAACTCAGTTGTTAAACGGGCAATCTGTAGTAATTTTAGAATGTCTCCTTTATTTACAAGCATGTGCCTCTTACAATACTAATGTTAAAGTATTTTGCAGAGCAACATTGACGATAAATTACAAAATTGTTTTCTAATAGCATCAGTAGGGAATAGTTTTAAGTGAGTGTCTGTTGTCCTTACTGGTAATTGAAAAGTGGAGACCTTAAATTCGTCTTTTAGAAAAATTCGTTTATTTATTTGAACTGGTTTTAAATCCCAAAAGCCTTAAATCAACAGCCCTTGGTCTCTTTTTCTGAGAGCGAAGTGACTTCACTAACTTGGAGCTAAAAGACTTCCTTCTTTCATCTCAAGGACTGGTGTTCTTTGGTCTGTATCTCCACCTGTGACATTTCCAAACTCCCAAGATATTAATGACTTAGGCAGTCAGCTATGGCTGGCCCTTTAAATAGAGGCGTGGTCTAGACGCGCGGACCACCCAGGAGAACGGACCAGAACTTCGAGAAAGCGGAAGCAAGGCCTGCAGTGACAGATACCGCGCATGCGTGAGGCGAAGGCTGGGCGCGGGGTCACGTGGCCCTGGGGTCCAGGGCCGGAATGGCCGCCAGTGGAGGTAAATTGTGTCTGGAGAGCGGGCTAGCAGGGAGGTCCCTCAGGTGAGGGATTGCTCCAGGGTGGGAGGAGAGCGAGCGCCGCCAGATCTCTGAGCCCCGGTCTCTCCTCCGCGCTCCAGTGGCACGGCCTAGGGAGTTGCCGGAGCAGCCGGTGACGGGCCCTGGCTGGCCCGGCTGACTCGGGGACTGAGGGGCGTGTCCAGCATGAGCATTGGAACTGGGTCAGGCAGTTTCAGTTGCTGGTTCCAAACTGATGTGAAGCTGAGGGAGACAGGTGCCGCCCACCCCACGCTTTCTCTCGGGCAGGATCGATTTGCAGCCCGTGGGTCGGGATGGAGGTGGCCACCTGTCAGGATCCATGCGCGTCCTGCGGGTTGGTGCTCCTGTGTTTTCTGCAAGGTGCCTCTGGATGTGAGGGCAGCAGGATACAAAGTGGATCTCTAAAGTTCGAGGTCGCTCCAGTGATTTGGCTAGTTTTCCAGATGTGGCACTTGGGAAGAAGGGAAATCGCTGTCCAAAGTGCTTTGGGTGTACAGTGGGTGGGGTAGGCGTGGCATTGGATTATCTGGGATTTACGGGGAGCCTTCAGCCAGGCAGATCTCCTCTGTCCTCTTCACTCTCTCTAGACTGTTTTAGAGTACACAGCAAAGCCTGTTTCATCTGCAGAGCCCACTCTCCCACCTCCACCCAAACAAATATGCAGGTACACAAGCAAAATAAACATAGATGTTATCTCGTGGTGCCAGCTCAATTATAGACATCTGTGTTTGGGTGATAATTACATGCCAGCTGTGTCTATGCTACATTACACTCGTGTGTTTGAAGTATATCTAAGGTGGGAATGGAGGATCTACACATTTGTATGAGACATGGATTTGCTCATGATTAAATTTAAACAGAGAGTGGGTATTGAATTCTTTCAAAATAGCTGACCTGTACCATAGAATGCACACTAAAGATAAGTGGGGAAATTTTTTGTAACTACTGGATTTCATATGGTCGAAGAAACAGTTATATGTGAGAGAATTTTTCACATACCTCTAGCAAATAATACACTGATTTTTCTTTATAGGTCTCCTTTGTACATGGGGACTACCACCAGCAGGAGATTCTGTCTTCCAGAATATTGAGTGTTTTGATGATTTTTAGCTGTGTTCTACTATTCCATAGACATTTCAGCCATTGTGACAGCAAATACCAATTCTCACAGTTGTATATGTGACTGAGAATGAGGCTTTTTGAACTTAATACAGTATCAAACTTTTGATCTGTTTATGGGTTTCAGAGAGTTCAAGTGGCATCTTATATTGACCCCACTACCTTGGTGCCCTCTGTATATATTTGTGAAATCAAACCACTCAATTCTAAACTAAATCCTGATTTGTTTGAATTATCTTCACTTTATATAACATTACAGAAGTGCATTCTGTGTTTTGGCCAGAAAATGTAGATTTGCCTTGAATTTCTCACTGTTAGTGAATTTGTTAGATTTATTCTTGTGCAATAACACTTTTTAAGTCAAGGCTCTTTATGTCATAAATGACAGAAACACAATTCAAATGATCTTAAAAAGATTTATTGGCTTACAGACTTGGGCAGAGAGAGGGTGTCACAAAATCACTAAATGAGGTTCTTGTTGTACACCCCTCCTAAACACACATAAAAGACCTCTTAATTCCTTAGTCCCCAACTCTGTTTCTCTAATTGCAGGCCTCATTTGGTTCTATTATATAATCATCTGAAAGAGAGACTCCAGACAACTCCTATGTTACACCCTCCATGTACTAGAGAGAAAACTTCTGCTTTTCAATGTTTATGAATTCCAAGGAGGACCCTGATTGTCCAGATTGGTCATGAAAACATCATGTGCCTATTCTTCCTGCTACGTGGATAGGGTGCTTGATTGGCAGTCCCACCAAAGCCACATAGTAGGAGTGGAGCTTCTCAAAGGAAAGACAGTGAAGGTGCTGGGATGCTTTAACATTTTTTTTTCTCTGTGGTTCAGCAAGAAGCTCCCTGTTGCTCTTGTGGGAGGAGGCATAAATTTCTTGTTACTACATCCTTCTTGACATCTAACCAGGTGTAACTAAGATGATAATTTACTCAATTGAAATTAACAAAGAAGGCCACCATGTATTCTGCCTATACCTGAGTGGAATCCTATCCTTTGTACATTTAAGTTACGTGAATTCACCTACACCTGTTACGTGAAGAAGAGGGAATATAAGTCAGCCTGCACAAGGCTCATGTACTTCTTAGGGAGAGAGATTTTTATGGTAGTAGTAATTTACTAGAATCTGGAAATAAGCTATTTCTCTCATTCATAGCACTTCTCTCTATGCATTCAATAATACTAAGACATAGGTATTTGTATGCTTCCTTTTTACTACTATTCTGTGTTGTGATTTAGAATTAGATCCCTTTTCTAGAATGGATGCACCTTGCTTGTTTATGTATAAAAATTTGTAGTAGTAACTTAGCACTCTGTATAGGAAGGTCTCTGGTACTACTCTTTTCCTCCACTGTTTATGTTGTTCTGTGCTTATTTCTTAAGTTTTAAATGGTAACTCTTCTCATGTAAACATTACTGAGATAGGAAGAAAAATGTTTGGGCTTTTTCATAATGGTAGCTCCATACACACTGAGCTGTCGTTACCTAAATAATGCCTATTGTTGCCTAAATACACTTGTAGTTGAGAAGAATGTTGGGGGTCAAGTAAGCAGCCCACTCCAACCCAGTCCAATATATAGTAATATTGCATCTAATTCAAGTGTTTGGAAGTTCATGGATAAGGTGAAAGTTGAGTTCTCTAAAATAGCCCAGGAAGGAGTCATCTAGAGACTTACATGGTTTCTCAGAAAGCCAAACATGTCCAGTTTTTGCCCCATGTTGGAACAGCATACTGTTTATTATTTTTAGCACTTATGAACTAGTTTGTTTGTGTGTGAGGCTTGTAAGACCTGAAACTGACCAAAGGGATGGTAGAAATCTGGCGCCTCTTTTGTGCTCACTGCAAAGCGCATACTTAATGAGTAGAAATCTCTGGCTCTGTGTGAATCATTTCTTTTTTCTCTTGCTCTTTACCGAAGATAATAAATTCTTGTAAATTGAATAGATGTATAATACATTTTTATTGTTTTCATGTATAGGCAAAATTAATGGGAAAGAACATGAAACATTTGGTGTTATGGAGTTTGTTGTGTTATACATGAGCTAAATGTTCATTAACAACATTCTTGGGATTTAAAAGAGTCCCTCCTAGATACAAAAGATGAGACTTGCACAAGTGGAATTTTTGGAGTAAAGTGACTAACCATAGCTTAGCTTGAATGACCAGAACTGCTGTTTGAGGCTGTAAAAGCCAGTGGTATAGCTTAGCTGATTATCTGGGCAGAGAGGATGGATGGATGGATGGACTGACTGACTGACGGACTACTATGTAATTAGTGTGATGTAATTAGGCATTGGAAATACAGTGGTGAATAAAGCAGATCTTTGCTCTCATGGACCCTGTCAAAGGTTTCTTCAGACAATGAGGAAACAATTGTGGTGTGATTAGTGTGATCAAAGAGAACAATGTTATGGCTGCATTTAATAGGCAAGAGTTTTAGCTGATGCCTGATATATGACCTGTGTTGTTGACGAGTGTAATTACATAAAAGTAGGACTCAATTATAACTTAGCTTATTATGGCACAGATTGCAGATAATAAAATAGATATGCTTAATTCGCAACACAGGTGTTTTTGTCTTCTAATTCTTGTGTTAATCAGCAAATACCTCCTGAATGTCTACAACATAGTATGTAAATCAGTGAATCCAGTGATGTAGAAATGTTGGCCCATTCTCATTACCTAGTTAGAAGAAAAATCATAGTTAGCTAGGGTAAGTTAACTACTGAATCAAAATGAGGAAAATACCAAGACAATTTTGAAGAAGACATACCTTCTGGATTTAGGGAATTGTTAGGGACAGAAGAGGTCATGGAATGATCCAGTTTGAACGTGTTCCACAAGGAAAGAAGAAGGAAGAAACTCAGATAAATGTAGAGGAAAAGGAAAGGGAAGGTGAACCAGCTATAACAGACATGAAAAGTGGAAGCTATTCTTAAAGGATTTTGAATGCTATAGTATGTGTAGTTGTAAAGGAAGGAAGAAATGGGGACTCATAGATTCCATCCAGTTTGTATGATGTCTGGAATTATTAGGCTTAGAATTTGGAATTTTATCCTGTAGGCATTGGAGAACTGTTACAAATGAATCTTCCATTTACTAGAGAAAGATGATAGAAAATTAATAGAAGTTAACTGTATTATATTCTTTTCCATCACAAGATAACCATAAGACAGAGCAAAACAAAGAAATAGAAGAGTATAAATTTGATGAGGAAGGCCAGAGCAAAGCTAATACGTAACATTGTTTGCATGCATGAATTTTTGATACTTTTCTATCACAATAATAAATTTTTAAAAATGATTTTTTTGTAAAAAATATCTTATAATGATACTTTTAGAAGGAAAAGAATGTTGGAGAATTAGACAGGGTGCTGGACTTTGAGGATAACTGGGCATGTTTGTCATGATAGGAAATTTGTGACAGAGTTGCCTGGTAACCTGTCCAATGGAGGTCACATTGTAGAGTTCTTACTCATTTGGTCAGTGTGAAAAAGGGATGATTTTTGTTCGTGTAGTACATTTGTTTTTTTCAAAATGATCCTTGGTTGGGAATAATCTTATTGATTCAGAGGAAATAGTCTTGAGAATTATCAAAATGACCAGTAATCTTAAGTGTGAACTGTTATTAGTTTAACAGCATTCTTGGTCAACATAATTTTATGACATGCATTTTCTATCAGAGTAGTCTGATTTTATTCTAGAAGAGAATGAGAAATCGTTGATGTAATCTGCCGTGTTGTCTGCAGGTACTGTCTGGCATGCCATTCCTTTACGAACTATAAAAACACAGGATCACAATGATGGTTGAGTGAAGAACTAGTTGTAGAATTCCATGTCAAGAGGGAGGGATGTGTAGTTTGTCATCAGC